CTGACCTCCTGTAGTCCATTCAGACTTAAAATATGTGATCCTGTGTAGGATAAACTTTACTGAGCAATCTTTCAACTCCACTGAGCTCTAATAAAACCTTAGTTAAGATATTTTGTGCACCAGAAAATCAAGAGGGATTTTGATTTGTTAGCTGAAGCAACAACAAACGTAATCAGGGCTTTTAAAAGCATAATCTGTGAAGAATGACTGAAGAGCTGATTAAAGAAGACTAAAGTGTGTTAATGTCTCCAAATGCATAAATGTCTGCAAGAAAGAGAAAAGTAATAAAGTAGTTGTTTCTGTCAGTGGCAGACAAATAAAATTACATTACAGTAAGAAAGATTTCTTGAAGGCTGAAAAAAAACTTTGAGTAATAATAAATTTGTCTATGGAAGGTGCGGAATCAGTGTCATTTGAAGATAATTTCCAACAAGCAACTAATAGGAATTTTATATTTAATTACAAAATTTATATTACTTACAAAATTACTTACAAAATTCTGAACTGTACATTTTTATTCATCTTCTGAAGTCCTCGTGGTTAGAGTTCTGACTTCTGAGTGCAAAAAGTCTGATGTAGAGCATTTTCAGGGTGACTTTATTGTGTACTTCAGTGGAAGTGTTACCACACAAGAATATTGTCTGAAATGAGAACTGAAAATGGATTTCAGATCTGATGAAGTAATAGAGTTCTGACCAAGTTCAATAGAGTACTTACAAACAGAGAAAAGTTAAATTCTCGTTGACTTCTGTGAATTCTTGCAAATTATTTTTGACAACTGGTAGGATTAGAGCAAGATGGCAATTGCTGTTTCTGTTGCAAAGTTGTATTGAAGAATAGCAAGCAAAACTTTTTTTCCTTCTAGAAACTTAGAAGGGGATGTTGCTTTGAGAAGCTCTGCTGCTGTCTATACGTACTGCAAATCTCGAGGACTATTTGCAGGGGTATCTCTGGAAGGAACTTGTTTAATTGAAAGGAAAGAAACTAATCGCAAGTAAGTGCTCCTGCAATTTACATGGTCCAACAATAGTGACAAAGGTAACAAGATTCAACAGTTCAGTTGGGGGAAAATTAGTATGTTTTGAGAATATTATGTGCTGGGTGTAGGATTTCTTCAGAGGCATAAAAATCTTTATTTGGATAACAGGAAAAGGATGTTGAGAAGATGCGGAATGCTTAAGGGGGTTGTGTGTTGTAAATGATAGCTGTAAAGTAATTTACCTTATAATGACAAATATAAAGCTACTTTAAAGCTACTTTAAAATGGTTTAGAGCCTCGCTGAATATTGAGCTTGGGAAAGTCTTTTCATGTAGTTTTGCTTCCTTGGGGCAGCCTATTAAGGCTTGAAATCCAAAGCACCTCTGAGAGCATGGAGTCACTTTAAGCAGAGCATACTGCAGATGCTAATATTTCAACCAAACAACTCTGAAAATCTAGATTAGTAGCTGCTGCATATCTGTTGCATTGTACATGTTCTATTTATGAAAACTTTGATTCTGCTAATATCAGCAAAGACTAGTAATGGCTTAATGACAGTGTGTCAGTAATTTTCAGCTTTCTCTGTTCATAAGATTTTAGTTTTACTGCTCTATTGCATCGCTAAGGAATTTTACTACAATGTTGAGGAATGTATTGCAATGTTTCGTAAAAGTGGAATGCATTTTTTCAGGTGAATGACTTTCAAGTGCTCTAGTTAATGTATGCCAAATAGCATAACAAAATACTACTGGTGAGAAATGCTATGAAACAACATAGACTTTCTAATTTACTGTAATTTATCATTCAAAATTTGTAGTGTTGAACTACTTTCGTGATTTCTCAATGGATGAGCAATGTGAGAAATGTAGTGAGGGGAGCATTTGCACCAAATGAAGTTATCTAGGGTTTTGTGACGTTATCTACACTAAATGAAGTTATCTAAATGTGATAGTGATGAGATACCTTGGATCTTTTCTTTTGTTTTCAGGTTTTATGGACAGGATATTCGTGCTAGTTCGATCTTATTTGGTGATGTGCCTTTTCCTCCTCAAGCAGACGATCTTTATGAAACTCTGGCATCCTTCACTGAAGTATATGAAAATGAAGAGCAAAGAGGAAAAGCTGTAAGGGAACAAATAAGGGTTTGTCTTTTTTCCATATAGGCTTTTTTTTCTGTTATTGAACTCTTTATGGTTGGCTGTAATGATAATGTTGCAATTTCTGTGGCATTCCTAGGTTCTCTAACTGGATGCTTACAAATGTAATGTATAGCAGAACCTTCATGTGCTTAATATGCTTGTAGTAGCCTTTGCTGGATGACGATATTGCTATTTTTGCTTTATATGTGCTAAACTGTGTATGTCCTTGTTTGTAGATCAGTGCATAACCAAAACTGAGTTTTGATTAGAAAGGTATATTCCAAGTATTCTTAATCAAATTAACTTGTAAATAATGAGCATACCAGATTTGATGTGATTACTCTTCATTTTTTCTGCTTTTTCAGTTTCCTATTCAAGCTTAGAACAATCATTAAGATAAATATAATACCAAAACTACAGAAGATTCTTTCTGCAGTGTTGATGTTGTTGAAGTCCATCTTGTACTTTCATCTTTGTTATCTTCATAGTGAATTATCCTACACTTATGTATAAATATTAATTTTACACATTTCTTCTCAACTTCATACAATTTCAGTGCAAAAAGACTAATTTTCAGTGTAACTTGACTTACCTGTACAATTCTAAGTAGTAGTATATTTCCAGGTGCGATGCAACATGAAAATGTGTATGTTTTAGGTAAATGACCCACCTGCTAGACCCTCTTCGAGACCAGAGCCACATAAGCCCTCTGCTAGGCCAACACCACCAGGTTAGAAGGTCTTTTAATAAGGGTTAGTTTATTTCTGTATATTAAAGTAGAATATTGAAACTGATGAACATTATAGTGTTCTTACACTAATAGTTGCCTATATATGCATACATATTTTTAATATTCTTCCTTGTACAAACATGAGCTGGAATAGTTCCATGTGTGAGACAGGATAGAATTTGAGCTTTGTTTTTTTTCTTCATCTTTTGGAAAGTGTATTAATCTCATTTCTAATGACAGTGTGAAAATATCTTTAGCAAATATCTATAACAAACCTTTGCTATCTGACTGTTTTGTTGTAGAAATAGGATTTGTGTAGTTAAAAATATATTATAGCTCAAAGGGAGCATTAATATTTATTATACACATAAAAGCTCTTTTAGCACAATGAAACTTCTTAGCAATACAAATAATCCTACTAAAATCTTACGTCTTATACAAAACTAGATTTTCTTCTAGTTTGTCATTGTCTTAAATAGGTGGATGGAGTTCTAATAGGTGAGCAGGGAAGGGAGAGTTTTTGCTTCATAACTAGTTACTTGCTGAAGTTTTATCCTGAGAAGTGAGACTTTACTGCAGTTCCTGTTGTTATTTTGCTGTATTTCTCTGGACAAGTGGATGAAGCTCAGTCCTTATTTCTTTCACTAGTACTGCACCTTAGCTTCAATCATTTTCTAACTGTTAAATATATATTTGAAAAGCAGTGTGCAAAATATAACAGTATGTTTTGGCATATCATGTGACTTGCTCTTAAATCTCTTACAGCCAAAAAGAATTCAAACAAGCTTTATCCCGAACTTCCAAATGATTATGGCTCTGTGGGTAAGTACTGAGTTTATGCCTTTTTTGTTAGTTATTCCTGTTTTATTAATAATCCGAGAAGTCTTGCAGGTAGTCTGGAATCATCTAAAATCTGGGCATGGGTATTTTTCTTTGTTAATCATGTGCTAAAATCAGATTCCTTTGTTTTTTCTCTCCTGAAAATTTATCATAAAAGTGATTCTTATACCCTGGCTTTACATTTGGTCAAAGATGTCTCGTATGTTCTTTTTTTGAATAGCAAGAGTTTTCTTTCTTTGTTCAGTGTGCTTGAAAAGAGCACTCGAAGTAGTAAAACAGTGTTTTACTTTTCAAACTGATTGAAGTAAAAAAAGAAAGCTGATATAACAAGCTTGTGTTCAAGTCCTTATGATAACTCCTGTTTTAATTTAAAAAGTACCTCCACAGGTCCTATCTAATTACAAGGGCATAAACATAGATTTCTACTTCAGCTTTACCCCTTCCTGTTTTTTTTTTGGTACTGAGTTGAGATAACCCTGCACCCTGTTCTGTGTTCTACACTGACTCTCTTTTGAGCTTAAAGACAAAACCAGGCAATTTTGGTTTCACCTCTGATTAATATAGGATCAGATTCTGTAGCACTCACAGCATAACTCTGGAACTGTGTGTCCCATCATCAAAAAACTTAAGGTCTTTGTTAGGAACAGTGGATCCAGTGGCTGGGTTCATTTAGCTTCCATAGTGAGCTTTCCCATCAAAGTGTGTCTTCTCTTGCACAGGGAAAAGACTGTTAGCCATTTTAAAATCTGCAAAATTAATTATTTTTCTCATAAGTTACATTGCTTATTTGATAAAATATTTTGGTCTCTGCTAGGATCAAAACCAAGACTGAGGTGTTACATATATAGGTTCATTTTTGTAATTTTTTTTTTTGTATAAATATGAGCATATATTTGGATACATGCATTTTATCATATGCACAGTTTGGAAATATAGCAAAAGATCTCTTTATTTTAATAGTTGAATTAAAACAAAGCTTGATAATTCATCACAATGAAAGTCTAAATCAGGCTGAGTGCCACGGTTCAACTGTTTAGATTCTGTTGTTTCAAACAGAAACTCATAATGTCCAGAAGCGGCCAAACTCGTAAGTGGATTTTTCATAGCTTGGTTCATGCAATTAGAGATTTTCACTAAAATTCTAAGATAAGTTATGTGTGGCTTCTTGAAATTTCTAAAAAACATGAGAGAGCAAGGTGCAGTAGGATCTTTTGTAAATGGCACTTCCTGAAAGAAACGTCGTCTCGTGATAAATTGTCCTGTGCCTTACAGATTTAAAATGGGGTTTGCCTTGCATTGCAGGCTGTATTTCCATAATAACAGTTCATATACTGTCCATATCCACAGAAGTGCTATACCTTTCTAAAGACTAAGTAGCTGTTCTTTTCAAGTCAGTTCTCTTGCATGTTTTCTCACACCATTGCTTATACGCACACCGATGGGATGCTAGATAAGAGTTAAAGGTGTTTTCTCATCACTGATAGAGTTTGTTCTTGTGCTGGGTTGTGGCAGAGAAGCAACCTAAAGGTTCCTGTCAGTTTAAGGTTCGGCTGATTTTAAGAGAGCTCCCAGACAATTAAAACTTGCACTAGCCAATCCTTATTGAAGGATAAGTTGCTGCCGCTAATGTGCTGCAATGACCTGGAAAAAACATTCGTATCCAAATATAGCTTGAGGAAGCTATATTTTAGTATATAGCTTCCCCCCTACAGGGGTAGGTTTTGTTATTTAGCAACACGCCTGTCTGAGTTGCCAACAGTAAACAGTTAACGTTTCTTTACTTTCATTTTTTGTTACAGGTTTTTGATTTTGCAGTTATAAAAGTAGCAGGAGGGTTGAAACTTTGATTCTTTTCATTAGGCGGAAGAAAGGCAAGACTCGTAGATGAAACATTTTTAATTATATTTTATGTAGACTTGAATTATCAAGATGAGAAATGTAATATAATCCATTTCAAGTACAAGAAAAATGTAAAATGAAAACCATGTTTTTCTAAACTGATATTGTGATACTTGACTCTGATGCAACTAGAGCTTTTTTATGTAACTGAGTAATACTTAAGGTAATACATTTAATTTTAAAATGATGATCACTAACATTTTTATTTTTTTCCACACACTTGGATTTTTTTTTTAAGATAGACCTTCTACAATTCTTAAAACAGCTCATACTGTTACTGTGATTCAATATAGTGTAAAGGATTTGAGGACACCAAAATCTTTAAGACTTGTTTGAAACTCCCAGTAGCAATTGCTTTCAGAAATAACCAGTACTACATCTGAAAATCAGGAGAGGAAAAAAAAAAAAAAAGAAAAGTCATTTTGACTGTTTGCTTTTTTACCTTGTAGAAGAAGTTATACCAAAATAGTGTTCCTGTCAAGTCAAGCTATCAGAAAGCAAAATTGAGGCCAGTTAGTACTGGAAGAATGATCTCACAAGTTCCGTTTTCAGACATGTCCATAGAAGCACTATACATGCTATAGGAAATATGACACTTTTATCTAGACTTTTGGATGTACCAAAAATTGATTTTTTTTTGAAGTTTCTACAGTAATGAAGATTTTTTGGAGACTGTTCAGATAAAGAAACTGTATTTACCTGTGAGTGTAATAGCCTATGCCTCTTCTAGGGCTTCTCACTCAAATTGGGGATTTGTAACTTAATTTTGTACGGTGACAAGTACAAAAATTATATATACAACCATTATGGCATATATAAAAGGACTGATTCATCTTTTCAAGCTTTATGATGATTACTTGATCTTAACAGATTTCTGCAGAAATCTCTAATCTAAATGACCTGCAGCTCTTTGAAAGGCTATTTGAGCATTGTAATCTCATGATAAAAACTTATTTTACTACCACGTATCTTCAGATGTCTTAGGTTGATAGCTTGTCAAACTAGAATGATACCTAATCCTAGATCTTAGTTTTCCAGAGTGTTTTCTGATTATTTTTGTTTGGAGCTTTGCCACAGAGCAGCAAACAACCAAAATTGCAGACTAAATGGTTCCTGACTGTTATCCTAACAAATTGCTGTGCAGTTCTGGAAGCACTTTAGTGATGTGCTTTCTCAGCTCAACTAGTAGCAGCAGTAAATAGCCATCTGCTAACAAAAAATATGCTTCTAGATTTGTCTCATTTATAAACTCCAAGAGCTGGGTTAAAGTGAATGTTTGGGATAACTGGATCATTAATGGACAATTGGTTTGGGGTCAGGAGTCAGATTACCAGCAGATTGCATAGCCTGTTGCTATTGTGATCTTTTCAGGAGGACTGAGACAGTAACACTAGATGTTTAATGGCTTTAAGGTACTTAATTCATGTTTCTGACTACTACTTTTGTCACACAGTTTTCTTAAGAAATGTGTAAGAATTTATAAAGCCAAAGTGTTCTGTTTTTTTGTTTGTTTGTTTTTTTCAAGAAACACTGTCTTTTTTACTTTCCATAAGCATTTAAACCTAGTATTTTTAAAATTAATTGTATACTAGGTAAAATGTGTGCCCTCTTCGTTTTGACTTCTGAATTAAAGTTATCTAGACACAGACATTAAATTCTTAAGACTGTTATGCAAAAACACCATTACAGATAAGGTCAATTTGAGCAAATGTTGAAGGATTAAGATTTTTTTTTTTTTACCTGAAACTTTACATTTGAGGATACTATGAAAAGATTAGTGGTTGCTGGCTGCAGCATTAAGCATGCATTTGTATTCTTGCATAGCATGCGTTTGTATTCTTAAATACTAAAAGAGGTGCTATATGGAGCCTACTGATGAAGAAAAGCTGAGATAGGCAGAAATTTGCAACCTTATAAAGAAGCTGACAAATCTGCTTCTTTCAGTGATTGAGAGAGTAACTTGTTAGCCTCGTTATTAAAAATTCATACTTTCTCATATGAATTTGTCTGCAGCTTTTGGACATTGATGGTTGTTGTGGCTTTCTTCCCTGGATTGAAGAGCCCTGGCTTACCCAAAGGTTCCCTCTCCCATTGCCTTTGGGGCACAAAGGAGGTGCCCCCTTCCTTGCCAATTTAGGTATTGCTTATAATCAAAATCATCTCTTGATCTTTCTCGAGAAAGATCAAGATTTTTTGTTTTGATTGCTAAACAGATGGAGTTCCTTCAGACTTGCATCAGTCATTTCCTCTTAAATTTTAAATAATTATTTTATTTATCGTGAATTCTGAGATATGAACTCCCTGAGATCAGCAGGATTTGGGCTCCTGATAAACACTAGGAATTTGGACAAAACTCCACTCCTTACTCAGTTTTTTACTCCTTGTTAGAACAGTTCAGACCTTCTGACCAGGCAGTGCCCGGTGTTTATGGTAAACTCAGCTTATGCTTCCTAAATCCTTCTCAGAGAAGCAGCTTTCCATGGTTACAGATCTCAGAAAATGAGGCCAGGCCCGATCCTTGATAATTTTGGAGGTGCAAGAATGCCTTCTGTGATCTCGGATGTTTCTTTCAATAATCTCTTGACTGCCAGATGGTTCAGTACATATATGAAAATTTGTTTGCTGCTGAGAATTTCAAGGAATGCTTTCAGGCCTCCAAATGCTATTAAGCTTCCTTTAAATTTCCTTGGCAAGACACATTTAGGGGCTCTATGTGCAATTTTTTTTTGGTAGCATGAGGTTCTCTGTGGCCAGTTACAAAAATTGGTGTTCACTAAGCCAACAATATTAAATTGACTTTGAGTTCAGAGAGACTGCTTCTGAGGTATAAAGCTCTGATAAAATAAAATAATAAAATAAAAACCTTTCAATTTTGCAGGACTCTCAGCGTAGTAGCTTTTTGTAGTATTTTTTTTTTCTCTTGCAACTTCACCTTCTGTTCAGTTATTGTACTCACATGCCTACTATCCGGTTCTGCTTTCATCTCACTTATGGTCCTGCTATTTTTAGATTTACTACTTCGGAAGATTATCTCCATCAAACTCAGAAAGAAGACAAAATATAATGTGCTACTTTGACACTGC